AAACATACGCAAATCACTCTTCAGCAAAATCTGAGGTGGTGTTCGATTTACATTGCGTTTGCAGCAAGCTTTCTTAAATAATTGCATACATGAAATGTGAAAACATCATGCAGATGAAAGCTTCCGGGTCTTCATGGAGGGAGCGTGAGCCGTGCACTGCTAGTTTCACGAAACACTTGTTGCATATGAGAGTATTAAGTTACTAGAGCAAAACTAGTTGACGCTGTATATTCCTGAAGATAATCTAAGCCTGAACAATTGGACCAATTTCAAAGATTCTTGCTGTCTCAATATATGTCTATTAGCCTAACCTAGTGGTGAGCCTGGTAGCTCAGTCAGTATAGTGACTGGCTATGGGCTGGACGACTGGGGTTTGATCCCGAAGAGAGCCTCTACACCCAGACTGGCTCTGGGGCTTACCCACCCCTTGTCTGATGGGCACCGGGGTCCTTTCCTGATGGTATGCTGCTGACCACTCACCCCCTTCTAGTGTCGAGGTTGAAAATGAGTAGGAGCTATAACTCCTCTCCCCTAAGAGCAAACATTGGTCCGTATAGGAATTGCTTTACTTTACCCTACCTTAGTAAATTTTACAAATGTCCTTTATATTAAGAATGGAAAAATGTTAAACTTTTTACATAATTTACCAAAAGCTTAAAATGTGTCATACAAAATCATGCATACAAACAAAACTGTTTACACATTAAGTTTTGTTTATATGCATGATTTTATATATCAATACACTGCACCATGTGCAAGGTTTTAAGATTAAAATGTGTAAGTTATTTCTTGTCCCAAATTCAGTTCCTTTGTTTGAAACACCATTGTTTCAAATTACTTTTCTACTTATATATTTATAGTAAAAATTTAAGTAAAACATTTCCAGCTTACCTAAGTGCAAAGTTCAGTTCCTGTTCAAAAACAAAGGCTTATAATTCACAAAATTAAAACATTTTAAATTCCTTCAAACAAATTTGCCAATAAGACATTACCTTGGAAGGGATTTTGTGTCATCCACGCAACTGAAAATCAACACAATTTCATCCTTCTACACCATACTCTGTACTAAGCATGTAGAAAATCCGTGGTAAAAGTACAATTATGGATGGAAGCTGAAAGGCTTTATGATGTCGTTTGATCCTAGCAAAGATTATCATAAGAATATTTTTTCTTGCAGTTAACAAATCGGATGTATAAACTACAGTATATATAAAGATCTGTATGTTTGTGACATGACGCACATATAATTCCGAATAAACACTTACTTTGAAAACATAGGGCTTAACACTTAAAAAAACTCATAAAACCAACAACTTTCTTTTTACAGGAATAGGGTTTTACTCCATTACATCGAAATTTTGTAAAACCAATATTGATTATCGTAAAATATGTTTCCATAACAGTATGAGGTACTTTAGTAGGAAATGGACAATATTTTTGCTGTACTGATACTTCGTTACACTGTGAGTACTGTACACACCACCTCATTCACAGAAAGCAGGTGGTGATATGATCAAAATGGGGACCCAACCACCTTCCTATTAAAATAAATACAAATTATAACTTAATTACCTATTTAAATGTTCATATATTCATATGTATCATGAACACCAATTGAGTTACCGACTCAAAACTTGTGTTCCTTACAAAGGCTAGCCAAAAAGGTTATCTCTTTTTAAGCGATTGTTTTTATAACATATGCAATACGACAAAGTCCTTCTTCAGACAAAAGTTCTTTTCTTTTCCGTCTGCTATATTAGTACTGACATACCGACACAGCATCAGTACATAACAACGCACTTCCTCAGTTTCGCTTAATCAGCCTCACTCATGTCAGTCTTATTGTTGGTAGTTACAAGACAATATAACAATATGCCTTCTCTTAATACTAATATTGAAAACACAACCATCAATGCCAGCCTGGATCCATATCCAAAACTCAGCAGTTAAAAGCAAAAGCAATGGTAGTATTGCATTAGCTACTCCTGTCTTACGCAAACATGGAATATACCTTACTAGTTTTTCTGATACAAAATTATCATTAACATTTTAACTTACAAAATATTTGTATAATCTTACTTGCATACGTTTGTAGGAAAACATGAGTATAGAAGAAAATGAGGAATACACAGAGAAAATTAAATTAATTTTCCAGAAAAACAAGAATCCGAGGATACAAAAATGAATACACAAAATAATTTCGTTCATGATAAACAAAAAAAAAGGCTGTTAACAGGAAAAACTGTTCTAATACCATGGAAAGTCTGAAGTATGATGAACTTTTTTGAACTCGAAGGTTTTGAGCATCCTTGGAACACTCTTTGACACACAAGTCTCTTTATCCTATTGCTATAATACTTTCCTTAACAAATGTCTTTGGTTTTAAATGTTTGTGAGGTTATTCACACACTGTACAATGTAAGGCATAGGATTTTTGTCATTATAGTTAACAAAACACATCATTTCACTTAAAATATATGTCTATGTTCCATTTGGTGTATGTAACACAGTAAAATTACACACATCCTGACACAATTGACTTGCTAACTCCAGAGCACATACAAATTTAACAAATATGGTAGCATCAAGAGATTGGACGCTAAAATGGTAATGTAACAGGTTATATGGCATACTGCAGTGCCTTGAAACCAGTTCCTTTGTCCATACACCGTGTGCATTAGTCAGTCCGTTTTAACAAACAAACATGAACTGTGACATTATTCTTTTTATACAAAAGTAATATAATCAGTTCTTGATTCGTGTAAAAGGGACAAGGCAATCTTGTTATATAACGCCAGTCCAAGGCATTATGATGACATTTTTCTTGCAGTTACTTTTAGACCAGTCATTTGTTAGTGAGTTAGTCATAATATAAATGAGAATTTAATGTTACTTATGTACGTACTTTCTACGGTAAACATATTAGTCATAATATAAATGAGAATTTAATATTACTTATGTCCGTACTTTCTACATAAGACTTTGTATGTCACATGTTGATCTGTTTCACAAAGGGCCTCCTTATATAACTTATTAACACTACATCAACGAGAAGATAAAATAAGATTACAGAACGGTAAATTTCAGGGGGACAGAAAGAAGTCATGTTAATGTAAATACTGGCATGTGTCTAGAAGGACTGAGGAAAGCCCTGAAGAACAAGTAAAAAAAATAGTCAGTGCCCCACCGGAAACAAAAACATACTTTACAAATATAAGTTACGTTACCATTAGCGTACAAATTGTAATGAAAGCTGGATAACAATAAATCACCATAACAATACGTAACATTAGCCTAGCGTTAGAGCATATATGATCCTGGAAGTCCTCGGCCAGTTTAAAATGTGCAGATCCCGGCAACACCTGAATTGTGTGTTGTTTGGTCCTCCCTAAAAACTAAACCTACACAAAAACTTACTTCATGGTAACAACCAAGTATGAACGACCATCTCTGTACCTATAGACGGAACTAGTTTGTATCCAGAGAACTAAACTAGACAACCAGAACTACCAGCTGTATATATTAGCACGTCTTGAGTAACAAGTAACAAGAATAAACATTTAAATCACATGTAACAAGGAACCAAATGACATCGGCACATCACACAAGGGACTTAAGGCACAATATCAGGAAAACAATTCAACTACACGTGTATACCACGGTAATAAAGATTAAATACGAAGACCAAGATGCCAAGAAGAATCTCAGTAGCATAAAACAAAAACACTCTCTTCATGAAAGACAACACAGTCACATTTTCACATTCCTCATTGAAATGGAAATAATCTGAAACATTTATTCTTTTGACACATGCAAAGAGGACCACAGCACCCTTATAATCTTGTACCTCAAAATCACTATTTTAATTTATCACTTCGAAGCAATAATCTTTATGTGGCATATCAAACTTTTTCAAGAGCAAGAACTTACCTACCAAACAATACACATCACCACTCAAGAGGCAATTATTCTCTCTTCTTGCCTCCACAGGTCATGTAACCTAACAACCTCAAAATGCAAATTCCAGTATCTCGTTCGTCTAGATCTAGGGGCCTGAAAGTTGATTTTTCATGCTTCTGATTTAATATTTTACATGAAGGTAGAAAGTAAAGTTTAATGAATTCTTCTCGGGCTACCAGTCATGTAAGGTGGTTTAATGGAGAAGACACCGATGTTTCGAGAACCATTTCGTCCTCATCCTCAGGGTACTGTCAGCACAGTACACAGAACCCTGAGGATGAGGACAAAGATGGTCCTCAAAACATCGGTGTCTTCTCCATTAAACCACCTTACACGGCTGGTAGCCCGAGAAGAATTCATTAAACTTCGTTGCCATGAAAGCTTCAGATCATACAGAAAGTAAATTTGTCCGTGGTACTTACTAAGCACCATACCCTGAGGATGTACAGAGTAACGGAGGTATAGCTCCACTCTTCTCGACCTCAGAAATGGACAAAGATGATTTATCAGCTTCATGCCCTCGTCATTCTACCACCTGGGAAAGGACCCACAGTACCCACTGGACAGCACGCTGCATAAGCCCCAGAGCTCGTCTCGATGCAGTGGCTAAAAGAGAAATCTCTTTGCCCCTGATGCAAATTGAACCGCAGTCCACAGTCAGTCCCTATTCTTAACAAGCTACCCCACAAAACAAATAATTTAAAGAAATAGTAAACCAATTTAAGTATTTTTGTGCTGTGTTTATAAGAATGTAAAATTATACTCCCCACCCAAAATAAAGCACTTTTTCTATCAAACATGCGTTTCTTCGATTAAAATCAACTGTAGCAAGACGTGTCATTTTTGAGGCTACTGGTTTCTTGATTTCTAATTCCCTTTCATGGCCCCTGCATCCACAGGCTAGCCTAAAATCCTCTTCAGAGATGCTGGCACCCACAGCGCATATTCTGTTACCCCCTACTATAGGGTGATTACAAAGATAATGGTTGGTGGAGGGGATCGACAGTTAAACGCTGACTCCTAACCACACTGGGGGCCTGTTCTAAAATTATAAATACTTTTATTACTCAACTCTTTAAAGGGCACTAACCACTACATTTAATTATCAATACCTAAGTGCCAGGAGCACAAACACCACTCCTCGTCAGCTGGTGACAAAAGCATGTAATTTCAGCATTTATTGCTACTATTTGTCTGGCTTGTTTTGTATTGAGACTACAATTTTATGAACTTCCTATAGTTTATGTGCCCACGTGACAAGTAGAACGGCTTAAAACATTTATTTCTCCAAAGTCAAAAAAACTTAGGAAACATTGCTTTCTTGGTGTGACTAGATATTAATACAAATCTTAAATGGAAAAAACACCAACTTGAAGTAAATTTAAAATTATACCAAAGTATTCAGTTTCTAATTTGAATTACTTTTACAAATGTGAACCGTAAAGTTAAAAAACATATTAACACATGTAGTATTTAATTTTATCATCATTTTATAACTCTTTAAGGAGAGAGATGTATTTTTAATACCCCAAAGAACGTTTCAAGAAGACGACTTACAAACTGAGATACGCGTTATCCCCAGTATTGCTGCACATTCAGCAAACATCCCCTGGCATTTTTAGCACAGCCACAATGTAATGGTTGGAATAACATTATCTTATGGAGCAGACTTCATAACCACATTACAAAAACGTCCCCAATGTAATATTTCCTGTTATGATTATTAATACAGTTTGCACTTAACGATAAATTTGACAATTACCAATAAAAGAAACCTTATTTTCATGTTACTTGTGTTTCATTGCGTTAAATGCTGTGGTACTCCTTTACTTCTTAATTACAGACAAGGAAACCCAATTATTAAACAAACGGAAGAAAAGAACTAGTATTACAGAATGTCACGTAATTTCAGTTCTATAAAAAATCTAGCACACGATCTCTGGTGTATCAGATGGCCAGCTACCATCAAAACAATGGCCCCAGACACACTTAATAACCTGTTAAGACACTTTGAGAAAACTCCCTATGCCAGGTTATAGTCTTCCAGATTGATTTGTAATATATAATCTCTCACTGCCAGGAACACAAACCTCATGTTCTCCGTGTCTGAAATCACACAATTCACTAGAATTATTTATTATTCATTCCACACAGAAGCTGAAACAAAATTTTCATTTCTCTCTTTCAACATAATTGAACATCAACAGTAAACAGAGTATCATTAAATACGAGGCGAGTCCTCAAAGTAAGTTTCCCACTCGTCCCACAGCTAGCAAACCTTATATTGCGCGAAGCGACTGTGCGTACGTGATAGAGCAATGACGTAGCATGGCGCATGCACTAACGGTACTTCCCGCGTTCTCACAGTAGCATCGTTGCAGCTGTTGAAGATGGAGGTTCTTATTCCAGCTCCCGCCGACTGTGAAGTGCGGTCAGTGATAACGCTAGGCCGCACACGGCTCGACAGACAGCAAGTCTCCTGCAGGAGTTCAGCTGGGAGGTGTTTAATCATCCACCCTACAGCCCGGACCTCGCTCCCAGTGATTTCCATCTTTTCCTACACCTCAAGAAATTCCTGTCCGGTCAGCGTCAGCGTCAGCGTTTTGAGAATGACAGAGAGGCGGAGATGGCTGTCACACAGTGGTTCCAATCCCAGGCGGCAGACTTCTACGACCCAGGTATTCAAAAGTTGGTCCCACGGTATGACCAATGTCTCAATTCTGGTGGCGAATATGTTGAAAAATAGCTGGACACTTGCTGTATCTGTTGCAATAAATATTTCCATGAAATTGTGTTTTGTTTCTGTAAACGGCCCCAGGGAAACTTACTTTGAGGACGCGCCTCGTATTTTAGCCTAGGAAAGTTATCGTCTCAGACAGATCATAAACAACTGACACGTCCACTTACCTGTGGCACAAGTGTAGTGAGCATATATAACTTTCTTCTTATCTGGATTCAGAGAATGAAACATACCTAGAATAAATTTTTGGGCCGCTACTGCATTCTGTGGAGGACCTGAGGACACACAAAGCGTTTCAGTGAAACTAAAGCCTGAAATCATTTCTCCAGACAGAACAAAACATGATCCTTTTATGAAATTAACAATTTTAGACACAAAAAGAAAATTAAGGACACTTCACAGAACAGATGAAATAGAAATCAGATAAGGTGATTCATGGATTAATAATGCTGTATCAGATGTTACAGTCAAACGGGATGAGAGGACGGTTATGTAAGGTGAACTCAGTGAACTCTTAAGGGATGGAAAGGGTTTCAAGTTTTGAGTAGGGGGACCGAGAAAAACAATAAAAATATCAAAATAATTATTCCCCTGCCATGATATCAGCCACAACATGAACGCAATGTGAAGATATGATTTCTTTCTGTTAGCCGTCTGATGTTACACTAAAACGTCATGCGTGACGAGTCAATCTATAGGGCATCATTGATCCTTTTGGATCACACTTGATTCCAGCAGAGTTAAGTTGTATTTCCTTGTATGGGAAGTTCTGTACTGATTTTGTCAAGTGTAAAATTAATTTTCATCAACCTCTGCTATCATAATTTTATGATGACTTTGGTATGTCACACGATAAAAGCACATGTGATGGGATTAGGACAACAATTAGAAAGCTAGCAAGAAATGAAAGTCCATGAAACTGGGAGAACAATTAGAAAGCTAGCAAGAAAGGCAAGTCCATGAAACTACTATAAGGAGCAGATGACGAAGTCAAGACAACTTTACGAGTACGCTGTTGTAAATAATTCCTCCTCTGAGTATTGTACTGTTTAAGACCATAGCAAATAAATGATAACACTCAAAAAGAGGTTCAAGAAAGCTCAAACAATTTTGTGCACTTAAAAAATGCATTATTATTCCTGCCTAAAAAAACCAAAGTTTAGACAAGGCGTTTAAAGAAGCAAATATGTACAACACCACACATATAATACAAATGCAAGATGAAGAGTATCAATTGGAAGACATTGGAGAACTTATAACTTGTAAATATGACACAAAGTGTTGGCTTGCGTATGTTACAAGCGAGTGTCAAATTCAACCAACATTTTTTTCACCTCTCTGGTCCAAGCAAATTCATGTATAATTCACATTTAGATATCCTGCTTACAAATGTGGATCCATAAATGGTAATGGGTCACGCATATATTATCAGTGAAAAATAATGCTGTTGCAGACTGTACATACCTACTCTAATTAAAAACTAATTTTAATATTTTAATGAATATGCCTGCTAGGTTTTGGCTTTACCTCTCTTATTAATGTAATTACATGCATAGCTTACTGCAAACTTTAATCCAAGTGACTAACAAGTGTGTGCAACCTGTAATTTTTAACTTAAAGAATCACAAAAAAAGGTTTGAAAGAAACTTAATTAAATTGTGGTTATATGTTTTTTCACAAATCACGGTCATAAGTCAAAACATTCATGTGGCATACCCAATGAAAGCCCATTTAAAGCTTTAAATTGGTACAGGAATGAGGTCTCTATCATAATTAAGACCAGAGTTAAAAATTCAATATGACTGAAATCAATTGACACAGGACGGAAAAGAATCATATATAACTTCAACACGAAATAACTCTGAAACTGACTGATGGGGGAAGGAGAAACCTCATAGATTTCGCAGGCTTATAAAATTTCACTGAAATCCAAGGCAGTCTTATCAATTACTGTGTTGATTTGAGAAGGGATGACAGAATATTGACATACCATCATAATCTGGAAAATGAACAGCAAGGTCAGAATACATTATCTTCTCTTGAAGTAAGTCTTTCTTATTTAGGAACAACATAACTGACGATCGCTGGAACCACCGACTCATGATGGTCACCTGAAACAGCGCCATGCTCTCCTCCAGACGATTCTGAAAGTAATGACACACAAACATCATAAACACAAGATCAGGAAATTAACTCTAGTACTCTGTCACAGTTGCGACAAATTGTGCGTGCGAAACGCCCGCATCATCTGCCGAGGAAAATCTGCGTTAAATCTCCGAATATTTCGGTATTTATAACAGTGATTTACATGTTTTTGTTTCAACTTTGCTAATTATATCTTCTACTTATTTTTTCATATCCAATTTATGGTCCTTCTCCCCATATAGGTCAGTTAAAGGAGGTTCCATTGTAGTTTTATAATACAATTTACTCTTTCCTTTGCATGCTAGATCCTCATTTACACGTTAACATTTCTTACTCGCAAATTGCATTCTTAATTTTTTGATTTCAGGGCAACTCAAAAGCATGTGCATGACATCTTCACTGCCCCCACATATGGAGCATGCTCCTTTCTCCCCTTCCCCTTCTAACTCCTCTTAGCTTCCAAACTTCTGCTCCGATCCTAGCTAACACACCACTTTAATTTCTGGAGCAGAGTTCATGATAGTCTTCCCTACCCCATTTCTGCTTCAACTCTTAAAAATGCTAATGACATCTTTTCAGACATAACTGAAAATAAATTTTGCCTTTCAATATCATTACACCTCTCTCTCTAATAATCTTCCTTAGTCTCCTGGTGTTTCCTCTTCCACGGTCACTTCCTAGCTCCATTTCTGCCGCGTCACTGTCTGTGCATCTCAGTAGATCTTGTGTTTTCTTACAGAATTGTCAGCTGTCTTAACTTTCATATTACGAGTTGCATCTAAGCATCTATCAATAGCTGTTAATGCTACATTGCCTTTTGTTTTTATGGATGTTTTCAGATTCCTCCATTCTCCAGTATTTCTAAAGTTATTACTAAATATTTAAATCCATATATTATCTTTATATTTTGGCCACCAATATTCCATCTTTCAGTGTGCCTCCATTTTCAAGCTTTATTTTATGTGAGACTCATACGAAAATCAAACAAATATCCATATAGCAGTTCTAAGCCAAGTACTTCAAGACTTATATGGGGTTAAATTCACAGAATAATTGATTAAACCATAGAAAAATAATCCAAACAACCGAAAATAAATGTAAACTAGGCACAAACATAAAGACTGATTATTATGAAACTTCATATATAGGTAAATGAGTTAAATCTTAATAACAAAGTTTTCATTTTCAGTTCTTAGCTTTAAAACTGCAATAAATAAACCATATTTTGTAACAACGAGCGCTCTGAAAGATTTTAAATTCCAATTAAATTCACACATGCACACAGACCTAAGAAACTTAACCTGGACAGTTAATTAATGCTATTTTACATTTACTCAAGTTACCCTTCAAAATCAATTCTTTACAATACCTTACTACTTTACGTTTCCTTCCTTGTAAGTAATACATCAATAAATATTAGCACTTAAATGACCATTATTATTTTATTATTATACATTGACTGTAAATATGATGTTTTTAAAGATGGAGCCTTCTTTGTACGTCACATACATGCACATTTTTTAATTTGGTAAATGAACAATATTCGAAGAAAATTTTCCCACTACTATAATAAAGTAACACACATCATACTGTCAGGGACAACTCTGTATAAAGACATACACTTTCAATATAAAGTTTTGAAGTAAGTTCTTACCTCACCTTCATCTTCGAACAAACACTGATCATATTCACTTAGGGCTGTGATAAATATTATAGACGTCACATTTTCAAAGCAGTGGATCCATTTTTTCCTTTCTCTTCTTTGCCCACCCACATCTACAATTCTGCAATTATAATATTCAAGATATTCATATCCATGGTACATCCCCATACATATAGACAGAAGAATAAATACAATAAAACATGTAAGACTTGAGGTTCTCACAGCGGTGAGTATGAAGATTTCCGTCTTCTGGGTTGTTGCGCTGTGTAGTCTGGTCGATGTTAACATCGACCAGACTACACAGCGCAACAACCCAGAAGACGGAAATCTTCACAATAAAACACACTGTACATACAGCGAAGTTCATAATGAGTCATGTTTTTTGATCTCCCATGTTTCATAAATGTAACCTATTGTATCTAAATATGACCCAGGGCACATTTCTTACGTAATAATTTAAATAAATTCAGCCTCTTTGCAAAAAAACTGTTCAATAGCCAAATTATAAAACTTGATTCAAGATGTAGGATGTGAGATTTTCATGGCGGTGAGTCTGAGGACGGTTGTCTTCTGGGTTGTTGCGCCATGTAGTCTGGTAGTTTACCGACACAACAGCCCAGACCACAGCCATCTTTCGGATTCACGATCTTTCCAGCACAGTTTCCTTCATCCACGTGTGCGAGTGTGGAAAAGTAAACTGGAAATGATGCATGTTACCTTTGTTTTTGTATGGATCATACAAAGTTCTACTTCACTTCCTTTTGCAAATATATTTAAAACGAAATCATTTCACACTTAAGAAATCATTTTTATTTTAATCTGTTAACTCCTAAATGATTAAATACTTGTATTCTGACGTCAGTACCGACAGTGTAACCCTGTTAACAGCACCTTGAAGCACAGTAACATATCACAAATAACATTTTCACGTTCTATTCAAATTATTTTATTAGACAAAAACCAGGTAACGGAAGTGTAGAACCTTGTTCAATGTATCTCCTTGCACCAACATTTAGTTACATATCCAACCACACCTGCATACAGAAAACTCTTATTCCAGAAAAAGGGGATTATGGCAAACCACAGAATGTTACAATTTCCCCAATAGACTGCAGAAATTATTCTGTCCAGACTTTAATTTATGCACTTTCAATGCTGAGGGGATTTATAATATGGTCTTGCACATCAACTCGTAAGGCAGGATAAGGGTTTCTTACACACACAGTCATCATAAACGAAACTGTTGAAGCTCCAGTCAGAAGACCAAAAACAACCAACTAACTAACTAACTAACTAGATGGCTTACCGAACCTGAAGGTTCATCACCGAATTAACCAAAGCCCTCCACTGGACCCTGTCCTGGGCCAACAAAATCCAGTCTCCTTCAACTCCTATCTCCCATAGATCCCGCCTGACATTATCCTCCCATCTACGTCTAGATCTCCCCAGTGGTCTCTTCCCTTCAGGTTTCCCTCTTGTCCCATCCATGCGCGCTACATGCCCAGCCCATCTCATTCTTCTCGACTTAATCACCCTGACAATATTGGGGGTGGAGTACAGATTTCTAAGCTCGTCATTGTGCAGTTTCCTCCACGCCCCATCGTCTTCTCTCCTAGGCCCAAATATCCTCCTCAACACCCGATTCTCAAACACCTGCAATCTGTGTTCCTCCCTCTGAGTGAGAGACCATGTTTCGCACCCATACAAAACAACAGGCAAGATTATTGTTTTTTATACTTTAATTTTCAGGTTCTTAGAAACCAGACGGGAAGACAAAATATTTTAAATTGAGAAGTAGCAGGCATTTTCGGAATTTAATCTCCTCCTAACTTCCTCATGAGTGTCATGTACCAAAAACAACCTCATGAAGTATCTGCAGAAACTATCTGCGAAGATACGTATTAACCCTCTGCAGTATTTGTGCGCACCGAACTTCCCACAAACACTGTCAGATCGTATGTATAAGGCAGACCAATGTTGGGAACCTGTTACTTATCACAGTGGCCAAGCTTGCCCTTTGCAAAATCAATAAACTTTTATTTTTTGAACTATGAATGCAAACTTCAAGCATCAGAGATTAAAATATCTTCGGTGAGGAAAACAACGTACGTACTTCAACAGTAAGTAACTGTGTACCAGTAGCTTTAACATTAAATAACCTGGCACGTTACTCACAGAGTGCCTGTATGGTTTTCAGAACAAACAGCGGAACTTTTCCTAAGCACAAAAAAACCTTTTCTTTCTAAAAGAAATGTGAATGTTCAACTGACTTTCATTGCCCTTTCAACAGTTAATTTATATATAGATGTGCAGCGATGTGAGAGTTGCTGCACGGAACCCATCCCACAGTCTGCCGATAGACAAAATGATAAAAACAAATTTCAAGAACACGTTCAAGAATAAATTCTAGAATATGACATCAGAATCATAACTGCCACAGTATTTAGTTAACTTTGGCCTTGGGACTGACAAAATTACACATTCAGAAAAACAATTTCATACGATACTTTATCGTAAGTGCATTTGCTTGAACAGCAACACAGTTAGCTAACACACACACGCACGCACAAAAGACTGATCTGTATACATACACAGGAAAGTCTGGTGTTGGTACTCCCATCCATCCAGACGGACAAGCACAACAAAGCAAACACAAGCACTATCAGTCACAGATCAACAAAGAAATGTACTTCACTCAATAGCTAGAAACCTACCATACCTAAAAGACACCTTTTCCAAGTTAAAACTGTACTCATTAATACCAGAAGTAGGTACTCTCGCATGCAAAATATCCTGCTCCGTGGGAAGGTAGTCAGGGGTTGTCACAAGATCTATCTTCGGAAGATAGCTGCAAGCAAACACATAGCTTCAACTCTACCAAATACATACAGCATAATTTTACAAAACAGAGTGTGGATCTGCTAAAGTGAAGGATCAATTTACAATAAAAACTAACAACATACGAGGCGCGTCCTCAAAGTAAGTTTCCCACTCGTCCCACAGCTAGCAAACCTTATATTGCGCGAAGCGACTGTGCGTACGTGATAGAGCAATGACGTAGCATGGCGCATGCACTAACGGAACTTCCCGCGTTCTCACA